CGCCATATATATTATTATTATTATATGTAGCCTATATTTTCCTACTTACATCCCCTCCTTGTTTACAAATCCGAAGTAAGTCCATACATCCGATTTAAACGCGGACGGGGCTTTCCTGATAACTTTCTGCGATGCCACCCTCTTTATTTTACTAACTTACTGCATGCTGAAGGTGACCCAGCTGACTTCACCAGAAAAAAACTCAACACCACCATCTAGTGGATTGTAAAGAAATTGATTTTATTATTCTAACAAATAGTATAATAAAAGATCGATACTTGGCGTCAGTGTATCGATACAGTACTGCCGAGGAAAATATTGCGATACTATGCTGTATCGATTTTTCCCCCACCCCTAGTAATTACCCATAAGTATTCACACTGCAGACCAGCCCACCTCTAAACATGTACTTCATGTAGCGCTGTGTTAAGGTTTTTTTGTTTTTTTTTTGTTTTATTTGTGGGGGTGGTCAAATTTCCATTGACATTCCATTCCAATGAGTGATAGACCATTCCCGTGTAAAGGTACCAGAGCCCTTTTTCCTGTCTTTAATGTACGTCTTTGTGTTTTAGGCCTGTCTGCAGCCTGGAACCTTGTATTTTGCAGGGGCCCATAAGTAATGTTTTTCCCAGGTGGCTGGGAAAGCACTTCATTTGTTGCAGACTCCTGAAACCCATATGAGCAGTGTCTCACAGGGCTAATCGTGGGGCCCCTTTTTTCACAACCCCCAGCAATGACACGCATGGTTTGCTTGTGTCTGTGTCAGCACTGTTAGCCTCAGGGTCCATTTGTTTTAAAGGTGCACCAAGACGTAAAATTATGTCATGGCTTTTTGCGGTTTTATCACAGCCAGAGCTGTGGCAAGGGTTTTTTTTTTGGTGTAAAGTTCCCAGCATGGACACAGACAGAAGCTCTCACTGACCTTTCACATTTGTTCAACATGTTTGGTCTGTATGAACTGAAAGATGGAGTGCTTGTGCTTTGCCAGAACAAATGCTGACATCTCGTTGTTGTGGGCAGTGCAGGTGCAGGAGTGTTGAATTCTGATTTTTTTTCCTAATGTACACAATAATGCTGTTTATTTGTATATTTAATCATATTGATATTGTATCTCTTTAATATACAGGGCCTGAAGAGCATATTCAGATGCCTGAATACATTGCATAAGAATGAGCATTACCATTTCTCTGGATCATCTTTGAGATGTTTCTGCACTTTGATTGGAGTTAACATGTGACAAATTCTATTAATTGTACTTATTTTGGAAAAATGCACACCTGTCAATGCAGGTCTAACAGCTGAAAAAGCGTATCAGAGCAAAAAAAACTGCTGCATTGAAGGTTAACGAGCACAGTGACCTCCATAATTCTTAAATGGAAGAGGTTTCGAACAACCAGGACTGAGCAATCGGGTGAGAAGGGCCCTAGAAAGAGAGGTTACCAAAAACCTGATAGTCATTCTCATCTTTGAGAAAATGTTAATTGTGTGTTTTCCTCTTGTCTTGTATAAGTGGGTCCACCATTTGTCTTAAATACCTGTCTGTTGTCTCAGACAGACCTCCCTAGGTTTTTCTTGACATTTTTAGTTGAGTTTTTGCTTTGCTGATTAGTCTAACTAGATTATTTGTTGGAAGAAGTTTATTGAATTTGTATTCTTTATTTGTAACTATTTTAGGAAATTTATTGGTCACAATGAAACCCATTTTTTGTCAGAAATCCTGTGTCCTCATTGGCTTTATCACAATACCCAAAAAGACTTGAGAATATAATCACCACCAAAGCGGTTTCATCTAAGCCAGGGGTGTCAAATCCAAACTCAGTAAGGGTCATGCTGAGGGTTGTGAATAAAATCAGGGGCCGGACATATATTTATATGATATTTAGATTATTGATAAAATATAAGTGTATTAGTAAATGTATTATAAAACTCACAATTCAATAAACCACATTTATCAAAATGACAAAGTTTTAATTTTGAGTTGTAACTCATTTGGAACACATTTTTGTCACAGCAGGCTTTTTTATCTTTATCAAAACAAGAAATAAGGTCTTTGACCATGCTTAACTGCATAAAACAGTACTTTAAAACAGTAGCATAAAACAATAATTTAAAAACAACAACTTCAATTTCAGTAAAACTGATCAAGCAAAATAGTCAACAAATGATAGATATAAAATACCACATGGTATATAGACAACAAATGGTATCTGATATTGTATTATTTGGCTTATTTTGGTAGCTCTTACTTTGAAACGACATCTTTAACTTGAAAGGACACATGCACCGGGATATGCCAAACCTAAGCAAATTAGGCATTAAAAAAAACAAACTCTTTTATCAGACACTGTATTAGAAAAGATCTTGTCTATTCTATGTTTTGCTGTAGCTATAGTATTTATAAAGGGAGTACAAAAACAAGTATTATTAAGAATAGAATGTGTTTCTTTTAGAAAAATTGCTGTTTTAGTTCTTTGACTTTTAGCAGCCGCAGGTCCATGTCCATGCTTCCATATTGATCATGTTTCATTTCGAAATGCCTTTAAAGTAGAGACCTGCGCGGGACGGATTTTTCAGTCCTGCTCCCACAGGATTTTGTCCCGCACCCACCCGCTGCAGCCGCAGAAATATGTTATCTTGTCCCGCTCCCGCCCACAAAACCCTGCATAAAAGTACCCTATATAGATTTTTTTTCTGTACATCCATGAAATAGTAAGTTCCATGTCGCCAAGCCAAAACATCCCAACGCTCCCGATAAAATATTTGTTATTAAAGTATAAACATTTACAACCACTGTTATTTTTAACAGAAAAGCAAGCATAGGCTGCTGCATGCATGGTTTAGCCTGTACTTCGTGTTTCATAATGAGAGGATTCGTGAGCACGCAAATTTCAGCACTGCACAGGAACTCCGGCGTTTTGAGCGTTGCCTGGATTCTAACTTAAACACCTCTGATTGGCCATTGCATTCCAAAAAATCAACAGATATGTCTTTGATTGGCTACATTGCTCAACGCTGCAAACTCGTTATAAATAGAAACTCTGCCTATGATTGCGTCCTGTTAATCGTTTTTATTTTGTATTAGTTGTTCTTGTTGCTTTTGTGCAATAGATGAAAAACAATTTATTTGTTTTTAGATATTTTAGGTTTAGATATTTCTAATTTGCGGGAATCCGGCAAATAATTTTATTCTCCCGCACACACACGAGTGTCTCCCCGCCCACACTCACCGATCAAGTCTTGTCCCGCGCCGCACTCGCAATAGTCCCCCGGGAGTGCAGTTTTCTACTTGAAAGGTTATAGGCTACTCTTTGAAAACCATGAGTGACTCTTGACATAAAATTGGCGAGTTGAGTAAAGCACGACAGCGCCACCTGCCTATCAATATTGTAATTGTCACAGACAAATATTTAAACACGCACGGGCCACATTAAATTGACTACCTGAATTTGTTGGCGGGCCTGATTAAAAGTTGTGGCCCGTGTTTGGCCCACGGGCCTTGTAATCAGTGGTGGAAAGAGTACTGAAAAAATATACTCAAGTAAAAGTACCATTACCTTCCAAAAAATGTAGTGTGAGTAGAGGTACTTGTCCAAAAAAACTACTTGAGTAAGAGTAAAAGAGTAGCCTATTTAAAAGTACTCATGAGTATTGAGTAGTGAGTACTGAGCTGTGGATTCTACCCCCTCATAATAAACACTGTACACCGCAATTGATACATTTTAAAAACGTTGTACATTCTGTAATTCACATTATCTT